ACTCCACCATGCGGGCCTAACCCCATGTTGAAAATGGATCCGACATTGCCCAACCACAACGTTTTGGGATTGCCTATCGAATGCGTAACATTATTATTTAAAAACATGCTAAATATGTCACACGCACAAAGAAGCAATGTCTGAACTACAGTGTTGGCAAGGAATATCAAATAGAGACCAGGGACTTTGAGAAGAACCGACAAATCTGTCTTGGAAGAAGTACAGCCAGTCTGCTCCGTAGGGGTGAGGTGGCAAGACTTCATCTCGTGTACGTTGGACATGTTGTCAGGAGAGACCAGTCCCTGGACAAGGACATCCTGCTTGGTAAAGTGGATGGGCACAGGAAAAAAGGAGGAAGTCCCTGGACAAGATGGATGGACACTGTGGCTGCAACAGTGGGCTCCGACTTAAGGATCATCGTGAGGAGGCTCAGGACCAGACGGTGTTCTGTTCTCTTGTCTGTAGGGTCGCTGTGAGTCAGAACCGACGGATGGCAGTTGAAAGTGAGTGCTCCCTGGGCGGGTGCTGCAAACAGTTAACCAGCTCCGAGCTGCTCTCACTGAAAGGTTACCAGTTCGAATCCACCCAGAGGCACTACTGCAACGGAGGCCTGGTGGTCTGCCACTGAACAGCCCCAGCCTTGAAACCCTCTACTCAGGGTGGCATTGCCTGGTAATGCCAAGCAAGGTAAGCACAGCCTTACGTGTGCTGACATGCCAAACTGTAGCGAACAGATCCATATTATCTCACCCCATTAGAGATTCTGTCTGTAGGTCTGGCTGGCATCTGTCTCTCTCCCAACGCCCCTCCCCAGCACCTTCCTACAGAACCCACTGTGTCCGTCCAGCTCGTCCAGGACCTTCCCCTGTTTCGCTGTCCCTCCACCTGACCAAGCACAATGTCCTTCTCCAGGGACTGGTGTCTCCACACAACAGGTCCAAAGTATGGGAGATGAAGTCTTGCCATCCTTGCCTCTAGGGAGCACTCTGGCCGTACTTCATCAAGACAGGTTGGTTTGTCCTTTTAGCAGTCCCTGGTACTTTCCAATATTCTTCTCCAGCACCCCCGTTCAAATGCATCGGTTCTTCCACGGTCTCCCTTACTCAACGTCCAACCTTCACACACACAGGAGGTGCCTCGCAGTACCATGGCTTGGGTCAGGTGCACCTGAGTCCTGGAAGCAGCAGGCAGCAATGGGCTCAAACATAGCAATGGTGAGGCTGGCCCAGAACCATGTTCTCTTC